TATACATATATATATATATATGTCCGACAATACCAGTACGACAGTAACGAGCGCTGTGTCGGGAACCAAGTTCTACGGCATACCGAATAGTTAGATTTGCAAACGATCCAAGCCGAATTCTCAGTTTCATTGCTGCAGACAAAACCAGTAGTTGAAAATTGTCGATCATTAGTATTGATTCTGTCTAGCTTGAAATCAACTCTGGTGCACAATCGTAAACACACACAGCCTCCTTCTAATTCGTGCACGCACCTGTGCATGTATGAAGTTAACCTGGAAGTGCAGGACTCATCTTTGGTTTATTTCATCAGTATTATAAATGAACTTCATTCCCCACAGTCCATCAGTTTACCGCATTTGTCCATGCAGTGATTGACTTCGGGTACATCTTTGTGGTGATCGTGCAATGAGATCAGACGGGACCGAAGCAGATACTGCGATACAGCTTTCAGACACTCAACCAAGACGTGTGGACTCCGACCAACCTTGCGAGTCTAAGCACACGCAATCTGATTGGCTGAATGTCTCAGAGCTAATAGGTGGATCATACCAACTGTGATTGTCCAGCAAAAATAAATAAACAAATGTGTGACTGAGTTTTGTGGTATTGATTTGCATGCGTTTCTAAATAGAACAGAACCGAACAGAAAGGTAAGCAGTTTCGTGGTAACTAAGCACTTGAAACTGAAAAGGGGCAAACATCTGATGCAATGAACTAATAATAAGCTGAAGACATCGTAAAAGATCGCAATTTCTTGGATGCATAAATGATACGCCGAATGGTATATTTAAATTCCATTATAAATGAACAGCGCATAATTATAAAATAGGAAACAAGTAGCGGAATTAACCTACTTTTCATCGATCCGATTTATTTTGTCACGAAACATCGACCGACTTTTCATACTACTTAATAGCATATACTACTGGCTATCATGTTATGTGACAGGTCCTGGAATTTACCCACTTTTTCAAATTATTGAGGGGTACGACAGAGCAGGAGATCGACTGTAACCGTATCCATAGCTGATCCTGCTCTCGTTTTGATTTCGGCTGCGTTGTCCTCACTCCTAACCAGAGTTCGCATTATTTCAGTCGAATACAATCATACATTTCTTACACGCTGACACTGCTGGGGTGAATCCGGTCTTGGTGGACCAATCGAATTTCTTACACCTTTTTTCCCGAAGACAAATAGCTAGAATCAAGTTTCAGATAAAATGCCACAAGTTATTACTGACCAGATTGCTTGAAACCCCTGTTCGAGTAACTAGGTTATCAGACCGGAAACTTCTTGCATCGACTCGAGCAGTGCATGAGACATTTGGTTTCTAGATCAAGGTTGTACCCGTTTACTTTAGCTTTGGTCACGTGAATATTGTGTTCTGTGGCCTTAACCTTCCTTTTATGTTTCCTTTCTTCCTTCAACTTTACCCTAACTTTATTGTTTCAGGACACTACTGAAAGGGAATAGACAATAGTGTGACACTTCTGTCAAAGGCTCACTCGTCATCGTTGTTCACATGGCCTTTCGACCGTCCCGCTGTTCTCTCCCGTATTGGGATTGATCTAATTGTGTTGTTTGTCTTTGCAGATACAGCCCAAAAATAACCATGGTTTAACGAAATATATGGGCACAGTTGCGGGGAAAACAAAACATTCAATTTGAGGGAATAACTAATTTCTCTAGTTACTTCAACCTGATCACTTCCCGGCACGCATCCGATTGAGTGTAGCCAGAGTTACTGAATTTCGGTTATCCTGGTGAAATGTGGCTTTTCGGAATATGGGTGGTGGTACTGACTCAGTGGTTTAATCGCTGGTGGTTTGGACCCTATGATCTGAGGTTCGAGCCCCGCCCATACCACCCGACTTTGGTGGTAGACAGCTTTGTTGTCGTCCGGTTCAATACCATACCTAATCAATCGGAGCCTTACGTGGTTCGCCAAGCCAAGTCTCGGGGAGTAGGTTACCTGATTTCATCACAGAACAATAGGTTTTCGTGACTAAGGGGATTCGCCCCCACTACTATTCATCACACTTAAGTGAGTAAAAACATGTATTAGGTTCACCTGTTCAGTTCAATTCAATTCTTACAACCATTAACCATGCACTTTCATGAGCCGGTTTTGGTTGCCCATTTAGGTAAAACAGTAGAATGATGATTAGAATGTTGAGAGCAGGTTCATCTGTTCCAAATTCCGAACGACAGTGTGGTATCAAATGAGTGCAACTGGCAACAACCTCATAGTCTTCACCGTGTTTCTCTTTTTGTTTGATAAACTGCAAAATATTGGTCAAAACTGAGTATTTATTGTTTCAAAACCAAATAAACTTCCTCATTAAAGCGATTTTCAGCTAGTGATATAAGTTACTTACTTTTGGCATAATTCAATTCTGCCTCATAAACCGGTTTTCCACCAGTTTCTTTTGCACTCAGTGCATACGACCCCGTTTCGAACGGTTCCGCATAGCCCAAAAATCGATACTCCACGAATACACGATGTGTTTTACCCCAGTCTTTCCAACTGGCCGGTTTTCGAGTTAGCTGAATGCGATTGAGACGAATCTGCACGTGACCATCATCGATCTTCGCAGTCGGTGTTTGTCGTGGGGATTCAGTCGACGAGACCAGTTTACTTTCAGCTACGTTTTTCTTCCCGGTCAAGGACTGTATCCTCGTCACAGATCTGGGCGAATGCGTTTTGCTCAGTTTTTGTCGTGGCAGTGGTTTTGGAAAATTGGAATCTGGAATTGAAAGAGGCCAGCAGAATTCAATATATAATTATTGCTGGAGTCTCGATGTCCAAACAACTTCTGTGCTGCTGCCTGATAACATAAACTGCGGAACCCCCGCCGGACTAAACGACCTTCTCATTTGCTTGCGCTTGTGTGAGCTAATGAATGATGTGAAGAAGCCAAAATAAATTACGAAAGGATGAAAGGCTAATGAAGGATGACTGAATGATGGTAGTGAGGTCTGTAGTTAGCAAATGATGACCGAATTCAGGTACATGTGGATTTATGATAAATGTATCGTGTAATTCAGGCGTCAGCTGAGAAGCTGAGAAGCACTGGGCAGCTGTTTCGACGTGGTTGGATCTCATCGGTAGTGCGAATCCATCGAATCAACTAGGGATCGAACCCTAAACCTGATAGGCAGAACGCAAGCACACTACCGACTCGGTCACCGGGCGGCTGATCAGATCGTTTCTCATTTTGAGTCTACGAGATACAGCACAATCCATCTATGCAAAGTTGTTCCGGGCCTCGCTCAAGTCCGTACTAGCCGTTAGGGTTATGACTCAGTCGGAAACTCTCACAACCTGGTTATTTGTTGTATGACAGTAATGGACGATTTGATTTGTTTTTTATAATGAATTCGTCTTGTAAACCAGGTAGAAACAGCTGCTCAGTGGTTCCGAATGTCTTGGCTCACGCCTCATTTACAGGACGAATTCATCATATAAACAAATCAATTCATCCATTACTCTCATACATGTGAATAATTCCGTGCATATCACAGCGCTTCTCACATGTCACATTGATTGAATTGACATGCAAACTGTGAATAGCTATTTGATTCTTGACTGGTGTCGTCCACGATGTGCATTCACCGGTCACATATATGTTCAACAACTGGATTTCATTAGGCTAACGGTGTTAATCCTAACCGTTAGATCTGGTGCCCATAGTCGAAGTGACATAAAACGTGAAGACAACGGCATAAAATCGATCTATAGAGTGCAATGTTCGAAAGAAATAGCCGAGATCCGCGTTAGGTGCACAAACGATACCTTCAGTGCTTGTTTGATCGGGTGAGGACATGAGTCGTTCCGGAAGCACGGATACTGTCGGTGCCTTTCGGGTTAGACGGATCGAACTGGCATTGGTGTTCCGCCGTTCGGCAATGTTTGATCGATCGGGTAAGCCCGCTTCGGATGCCGCCTCGTCATCGGACTTGATCTCCGATTTTAATGGACTCTATGATAAATGTGTATGGAAAAGGAACACAGTGTTACTGATTTATCTAACACAACAATTTCGGATATCACCCTCAAGCAAATGAGATGGATAAAATGATATTGTTTATCACTCGAGTGGATCTCAATACACCCTGCAAAACGTGTCCTGATTGGAAAAGTGCTCGTTCCAATCTCGAATGCATTGGTTTTCAGATGAAACAGCAAAACCAGAACAACTTAACCGGAACGTTTAAATGATGCTGGACTGAAGGCTGTTTAAACCCAACAACGAAAGATATTCCTGGGATGTACAGTCACCGATGTGCGCAAGTTGCATTGTGTTGTAACTGAAATGTTACCATGTATAATCATAGGCTTACACAAGTTATACAAATACAATACAGATATATGTATAGGCTTAAATCTTAGTCTAAAAAGTTCAAAAAAGCTGACGAATGTGTTACGTGTACCAATGATGAAAAATGAATAAGAAAAACAATTTATGTAGATTGATGCATAAAAACATTTTTCGTGTCTTACAAATTGAGGGTAATAGTGAATTAAAAATGCAATTTAGCGAAATAACCTTTTCTTCGGTGACTCATCAACTGAATGTATTGCTGGTGCCTTGTTGCAACCAGTCTTTGGGGAAGAATGAACTTTCGAACGCCTGGTTTTACAAGAGTCATTGAGTTTTACCGAGTATAGATATCAAGCGGTACATTAATTCAGATTAGGCTGATTGCCAAATGTGCCAAAAAAATAATATTTAATTTGCTCACTTTTTTTCTCTCACTTTTCAGCGTTTTATGTTCCTTGCTCTGATCTGATCCGCTTGGGTGACTCGGTTCGATTGTGTCCTTCTTTGTCAAATGCTTTTTGTCTGTCAACTCGGAAACAGCCGTTTCATTCTGTTCCTTGACCACATGTGCATCAGTTTTTGCCTGTGATTTCAATGCATGTGTCCCACGCAGACCAGCAGATTTGGGTGCAGACTGAAAGAGGATCGTCAACAAAAGAAACCTCGACAAAACTTATACAACCTCAAAGCATCATGAAAGATGATGTGTTCAGCGGTACGGTTAATCAATCATTTTATAAATCAACCCATGACTTCTTGGATAGTGAGTACAGTTACGGTTACCTTCTTTGGATTGTTCGGCGGGCTTATCGATGAAGCATACACCTAAAATCAACACTCAGGGCTGCTGTGATACAAAGGCTATCTGGGGTACTAGAGAAGTGGGGAAGATGGGTAGTGGTAACGGAGCTTGAACCCAGGACCATCTGATCCAAATGTTGATGAACTTGCTCACTCGGACACGGCCACCATGAAATTGTATTCACCCGGAAAAGTAATCTCATGAAGATAGGAACATGGTATTCGTGGACCGTAAAACCGAATTCAAATGAGTGATGCGCTAATCGCGTTCTTATGGAAAAAATAAGATTCGAACCAAACGCAACAACTATAGAGATAAGTGATGATGATGATGTGTTGGCAGCACTCGTCCTGCTTACATCTAAAATAAGGTTAAAATCTATACTAACATGACTATCGTTAACTAAAATAATGTGTTGCGGTGTTGCGGTTTACTAACTGAAAAAAACGTAAGCGGCGGAGAACGTGATAATAGCTCGCTTCACAAAACGTTGGCGACCGAGACAAAGAAAAAAATAGCAGTTTGAAGTAACTGGCTGTAACCAGAACTGAACTGTTACTCATAACACCATGCTTACAAATAGCAGATTTTTGTTTTGGAAGCATCAATCACAATTTGCTATTTTTACAGCGTGATTAATGTCCGTCCGTTAGGTAATTCATCTAGTCTAGATTTTGTCAAATAGCTTAATCGATCACAGGCAGCGAAAAACTAGAGACGATAAAAAAAAACCAAACTAACCAAAGAATAACTGTCCGTTAATATAGTTCGATCCTGCGACCGTAGAAACAGAAACTTGAACTTTCTCCTAATTCCTTTGCTATCATGTGTGTTACTAGTCATGAGAGTGAAACGACCGGATTGTGGACAGAGATTATTGTTCCCACGCGTTCGTTGTTCATGGTCACGAAGACCACAAAAAACATCTGCACCGGAAAATTTCACAAAACTATCTTTTCAGGGGAAGGGATACAAACACACACACATACAGATGCGTGGAGGACTAGCTAGGTTACCGGGGTGGGGTCGACCGAGGCACGCCTCATAATCGTGTTTTTAACAGCAGAAGGTTGAGAGGTCTATACTGTATAACCACCTTGCCATCCAGACATCGCAAGGAAGCTCCAAACATGTATGAGCCTCGAAGTTCCGATGAGGTCAATGAGACACACTTTGTGATGATTCCCAGACAACTGGAAATGATATTCGGACAATTTGCATTACCACATCTACAAAACTGGGTTCACAATTCGTGAACGCTATTCATTTGCTCTGAATTCACATTCATAAACTTAAATCCGAATAAAACTCCGTAATTCGTTATTCACATCTTTCAGGGATGCAGCAAGCCGGTTGTCCTGCGCATTTGTCAGCAGTAAGGTGTTATTTACAAAGCCCCACCCCTCCTTTTAACAGTCTACATTTTGAGGGCAAATCGGTATGACTCTATTCACACGAGAATAGGTTCGTTTGACAATTTTATCTGTTACAGTGTTTGAACAGATTAGGACAAATATATATAAATATACAACAAAATTAAAAGAGATTCAACGTTCTTGAACACACACTTCAAAATAAGATGACTTGGCTCTATTCGAAGCCACTTTAGAAATGGTGGGTTTGTGAAATGCAATTTCCGTGTTTCCGCAGTTATTGATGGCTTCCCGGTCCACTAGCCTGATTCGAAAGGATGGACTATTCGCGGGAAGCTGATATTTGACTGTGTTTAAAGTTATGAGACTTCAGTTTGCGTCGCCACGGTTTTCGCATGAGAACATTGATCCTCGCCCTCTAAACTGGCAACCTAGTCACTTTATCCAAATCTGCAAGAATTGATTTATTCTCTCACGGAAAACCGAGTTTTTCTCAACCACATAACTCATTTTCCATCTATCATTCGAATCCCAAGCGCACAATTGAAAACTTGACTGACCTGAACCGACTGAACTGTACTGGCCGTAAGAATCTCCGGTTCATTTTTTTCCACTGAATTTCCGGACTGACTTGTTTGGATCGGGTCGGCCGTTGAGCGGCCGAATGTATACGGTCGTTGCCAATACAATTTGATGTGAATCTGTCCGTTAGCATCTGTCGGAACCGCGGTTGCTGGTGAATTCCAATTCAAACGACTGGAATCGTTTGGGGGAGATTTTGCTTCCACACTGGTCAGAGGCTGTACAGCAAATGTGCCCTCAATTCGGCCTTGTGGACCGCGAGTGACTAGGCCGAGAAGTGGAATTTGTGCTGCTCCCAGACAACTGGCAGCCTCCTCGGGATCAGCGTTGTCCATCAAAAACACTGTTAACTGATGTGTTCGAAGATATCTGGAAATGAATTTTGGCGCTCAGGTGATTGGAAGGGGTTATGGGATCAAGAAATTGGGACTAGCTTCCAGCAATTTGTTCATTCACTCTGCACTACCGGTGGACGTACTGGATCTTATAGTGACTGGCTTCTCAGCAGAGTCGCTTTATCTCCGAGTAGGTTATCTTTGCACCGAAAGCGTGTGAAATTCTATCCTCATTTTTATAGAGACTGGATAAAGAATAAAACTGTTGGTTCTACCAGTTTACTTGCATTGGTTAATGTATCGGAGCATCCAAGGAGATGTCTCTAATCGTGCACCTCGTCCAATCCTCTGTATATCCCAAGCGACTTCAGTTTATTGCCAGGCTAACCTTACACGGCATGTTTTACTACGTGAATTCCAAATTTTTTCACTCTGCGCTTTCTGCCAGGCGTTTTTTTGCACGTAATCTTCACGTAACTCAGCGAGGTCTTGAGAACTACAGTGAATAAACAAAAGACCGTTTACGCGCACTCGACTGCGTGAAAAGATGACCTCATATGCATATATATTACGTTGTTCCATAAGCTCCCGCCGTTACATAAAATTATTTGTTCTACAAAGACTTTTTGATGTTTGGTGAAGTGTTTTATACCATTAGAAAGCCCGTGCTATATTCTGCAAGATTAAAGTAACTCTTTTGCCTATATTGTTTTTTGTCTTTTTTTTAGCATCGTCAAAAGGATTGTTAAGTCGACAGAAATCGAACTTTCGACACCTTTTCACCTTTAATCGAGGTCAAAGACGAAGTGAAGTTACCAGAGATATTTGTGCCGTGTATGGAGAGGACGCTATAGCTAAGAGAGCTGCTCGGAATTGGTTTGTCAGGTTCAAACACGATGATTTTGACCTCAACGAAGCTCCTCATTCCGGATGATCAGTCGAAATGGATGAGGATCAACTCAGGAATCTTTTGAAAGAAGATGGCCGCCAGACATACACCGAATTGAGCGAAAAGATGAATTGTGATTTTGCGACAATTTCACGCCACCTTCAGTCGGTGGGTTTCACTCGAAAGCTTGGAGCATGGGTCCCGCACGAACTCACCCGAAAGCTGAAGGATAAGCGGCTTTCCATTGCTTCTCAAGTCTCGCTCGACATCAAGCAACTCATGGCCACAGGCAACGCATATTATACATATATATATATATATAAAATATATCAAGAGAGAACTGAAATTCCTAAGTGACAGAATCAATGATTCTGTAAATGATCTCGAGATTGTTCACAGTTTCTTTGACCTTCTTTATGCTAACTTGGTTTCACGGTTTTCTGGCACCTTGTGTTCTACGGTATGGCTCACAATTCTAGATGTGTTCTTGATTCCATGTTATGATCTACCCCCAAATTTGTATTTGCGTAACGTGCCGGTTTGGATACAATTTATTTCCTTCTGTGAATGTTTACGTATCGTTCTATCATGGCTAGTTAACACAATGCAATTGATATCACTGCAAAACAAGATGTTTCCGACTGATCAATGTGATCTTTACAAGAAATTCATTTAATGTCTTAGTACAATTTTTGGTGCGTGTTTCTATTTTGATTCACTTTTGAAGATGACAAATGAACCTAAAGTACTTCTGTGTGTTTAAACAAACTCACTGGTCCAATTTTTCATCCATTACAACCGGATACGACTGTAAGTGATCGAATTTGGCATTTGAACATGCCTCCATCACTACGGAGACCTGTTCCGGCTGATCGTAGAATTGATAAACAAAATACGGTGATGGCAAACAGTCGGGACGACGAGCACGCAAATCCGAGGCAGACGTGATGTACACACAAAGCTGATTGTTCCCTGGATCTCCGTCCGGTGCGATTGCTCCATCTCCACGAGCTTCACCATCTGGACCGGATTGTTGGGGCGGCTGGAGGCGCGCTTGTCCGGTGACAGCTGGCATTCGAGGCAAACTGCGGAAACGTTCACGATAGATCCTTCGAGTTTTGTGTGAAAAAGTAGACAGGGTGAGATTCAGTCGGTTTTATTTATGATTGAACTGTGAGAGGAAGGGCATTGATTTACTATGTTTACACAAGTAGGGAATTCCATTGCAACCGCGGGTTGTAATAAAGAAGACCGATGTGTACCATTGGAAGATCTGTTGAAATAATATTTTACTGTAGAGTTTTAATAAATAATTACTCTATGGAAACCATCTGGTTGCTATATAGTTCCAGTGACCCATTGAAACTACCACTTGAGCAGTGTGCTTCGAAGGGTTGTAGGCGAGTCATGTAAATCGTAATATTTATCATTAGATAGATTAGCATCAAATTCTCTGAATTAAAACACTCAAAGATTATACACTTACATGTTTCTGACTCCTTAAATACACGTAGGCAGAACAAGTGACCATGCAACAGCACAGATAATGAAAACACTTCAGGATTGTGCCTTTGTAATAATGTATAACATTTAAGTAGCCCCAAAGAAACACATGGAGGACAACAAAAGCGTGGCGACCGAGCTCATTGTGAGTTCTTCGTAACCATGTGATTACATAATATTAAATAAATACATGTTCTCGTCGTTAGTCATACTTTATGTTATGTAGAAGATTGTTTAGGAATAAATAAAAACGAGCTTGTTCGCCAACCTGTTATTCTCTGTGTGTTCTGTGGGACTAATGGAACTTTGAACCAAATAGAGATATTTCGTATACAAACTCTTGCCTCAGATCAAACAGGAGAAACGGTTGCTCGGATATTTATAGACAACGTGGTTGCACGATTCGGTATCCCGAAACATGTCAATATCGACCACGGACCGTGTTTCGAATCCAAGACTTTTCGGGAGACCTTAGAGCGTTGGGGCATCAAACGAACAAGAACGTCCCCCTATCATCCGCAGGCCAACGGAATGACTGAAAGGTCCAACGGAACAATGAAGGAATGGCTCAATAACCATCGCGGTGATTGGGAAGGAAGCCTACCGGAAATCCTTTTCAACCACAGAACGACATCTCATTCGACCACGGAGATATCACCTTTCGAAATCATATACGGTAGAGAACCCAGAACACCCCTTGATACGTTTCTCGGAAGATCTGGCGAGCAGCTTTCTACGAAGGAGCGAGACAAACTGGAGAGAGAAGCGGTTGAGAAAACCAGGCAAACCCACCAGCGCAATAAGGCAAGGTACGACAAAGAACACCGATCATAAAAGTGGTAGCCACTCGTACCAGGACAGCTGGTAAAAGTTAAGAATCAAGGTAGACCCGAAACAACAGGACCGGGGGCCGCAAAGTTCAAGCAGAGATGGATGGGGCCATTCACTGTTCTGGAGAGGAAGAACGCCAGCTTTCGGATCAATCAGGGTCCTCAAGGAAGATCGGTAAACGGTAAAGAATTGGAGTGGTGGTACACCCGCGGCAATCATTTTAAAGGAGGGGTGAGTATGATGGAAGGCTGCACAAAGAGAGTCCTAGCTAGCGACCGAATTAAGAATGGGGCTCATCCGACCAGACGCGCAGACGCAGCGGCAGGAAGTACCTCGCGGGACAATGTTGACTGCCACCCGAAACGAGCGAATCGACAATTACAGCCCGACAAACAATCCGCAGCTAACGGGAAAGATATCCACCGAATGCCACAACGTCGGAGCTGTCGATCAACGCATCTCGTGCCGCGATCGGGTCAAACCAGTTGGAATGGCACGCGGAAGAAGAGGCAACGTACGTGCCAAGTGCGGACCACAACCAACAAGGAATGAGCCACAGAAAGAGGCATGAATCATCCCACCGCGCGTTTGAGAATTGATTGTATACAATCGAACGCATACACCGTTTCCTTTTGAATTGGATCAATCGACGTTTTTCCCATCCAGCTCGCCTTCTCGCTACAATATGTCTCTTACAAACCAATCACGATTGGACTTCTGTCTATGCCGATTCACCTCTACCGACCCGTCTCAATATGGTTTAAATTAAAGCGAGAGCGAGGGACGTGGTGGTTCCAAAACAAGCACTTCATCCAAAAATATTGGCCATAACTACACGGGAAACGACCAATTTATCGATAAGAAGTCTTAAGGATTTATCGTTCCAGCTTACCCGTTTAGTGACGGGACATAGCTGTGTAGTTAGATTCATCGGTGCGTATGGCATCTAAGTGTGAGTTCATTCATGTTATTTACAGTAATCGATAACAGCACTTCAATTTGGGCCACATTGGTTTGATTCTTTTGTGAGTAGTTGAAGGGAAATTTAGTCGCACACACACACACCTTTTTTGTTCTCAGGACTATCCTGTCACTCTAACAATTTCCCCAATCCAGTCCACTGTTCTTGTATTGAAGTGTGTACTTGGAGCAACAGAATACTATTATCCAAAGTCTAACGAAATCCACTGGGATGTGGACACTCGGACAGATTTCTATCTTGTCCGGGACCGATCACGCTTTCAAATAGACAAACAATCCAATAATATATCACTGATAGAACTGTGGGCGCCTAACCGCAAGTTGTTCATGGGAAGCCCAAGTGTTCGTGGCATTGTTCATACTGGTGCCACGCATAGATTTAGTCAGTGGTTGATGAAAAATTTGTCCCGCTCTGGATGGCGGGACTTGAACACACAAGTCACGTTAGACTCCCCGATTAGGACCTCTAGGTCAGTGCAATCGATAAATGAATAGAGAAACAGAGTGATAGGGTTGAGTGGCATGAACAGCAGTTCTCGTACACGTTATCCATTTAATGACAAACTTTGTCTACCTGAATTTTACTTACCTCAGTGCCTGAGGCATTGGAACAGTCAATCGAATCCAATAGTCCAATTTGCCCACAATCATACCGATGCAGCTGTTCGGACCGGTATCCGAACCGAACAGGTCCAATTGACCGTGACGCCGTGAGACTGTTTCATCCACATTTCTCAATGCATTGGACGTTTCTGAAAATGGAGAAAAAATCTGATTGTATCACATCAAAAACCGGGATTATTGATCAGTGTAGCAGACGGATTTCTATACAGTGCATTTCGGCAGAGATAAGTTGATTGTTTTGAACCGGTTGGAACCCCGGGGCAGGTCACCATGGGATGTACTTTTCACCTTCCAAGTACAAACTACCGATCTAAGGTTGGCAGATAATTATGCCTACGATTTCTTCGGTGGTGAATAGCTTGGAGTTGCAAAACAAGCTTGTCCATTTGAGAATTTGTGCCACAATTGGTGGTAGTGTTAAAGATCACACACTAGGTTGGAAATACTTGTTGAATTTTCGCCAATCGGAGTCATTCACTGTGCTGTTGGACACTCCCACTAGCTCCTGAAGAACGTGTGTACCGCACTTCAGTTCGCGCGGTGCTGGTCGACGACTGCTAATCTTAGTTACGCGGTTGAAAAGACACCAACCGACTGCCCTGTGGTGATCCTAGCGTACGAAATGACGCACACCACGGAGTGGCACGTTACGGTATTCGCACAACTGTGATCAATCAATCTTCCCGGGTGACGTCAGAAAAGCGCGTGCCTATCACAGCTTATGGACTACAAACAATAAGCCGATTGTACCAATCAATCAGAAACCGTGCGGCTCAGCCAAAAGCTGAACAACACCAGAAATACTAACACGCGATTGTCAGATACTTGAATGACCAATGAGCTTGTTTTGTATATATTATTTAATCCCCCTGATTTCTTTCATTAAATAAACTGCCATTCCTGTGGCCTCTTTTTCGCATCTTGGTCACGTGGGATACTGTCGTGCAATGTGATCCAGTGCTTACGTTGCATCTGTGATTTTTAATCCGTGCTTTGTATTTCGTGATCAGTGAGGGAGTCGTAAAATTACCACAGTATCATATTCGAAACAAAACCATTCGACGGTAGATATTGGACGGGTCGAACAGTGGATTGTTGATCGATATCACTGGCAAAAGTTTCATTAATGCCATCAATCTAGCAGAGTGTCGTACCACTGATGCCCCTTTGTGTATATGTTGCGTATATTTATATATGTGAGTTTGTTTAGGAACAGCGATGGTATCAAAGTGATCAAAAAGAGAGAAAAAAATGACCGAAAAAATCAAAGTAAATTTGGAAAATGATGCGATTCCACTATACCTTAAATGTTTCAAATTACAATTTTACACGTGTGTTTCCGTTTTTCCAGTGCATCGATTAAAAACACTTAGACCGTAAAAGATTCGCACTAAATCTGTGCATTAATCAAAACCCGCAATTTGTAGACCATGAGCCGTAAAACTGAAGCTCAATGGATAAGTCATTAACCTCGACTTGAAACGAACTGTCATCTTACTTCCTTTTTGATCTATCGAAAATATGCAGATGTGTTGTCAACTTCCAAGAAAGGGGCCGCGGCCATACTAAGGCTACCTGGGAAAATACAGAAATGGGAAAAACTTATAAAAACCTTTAGCTTTGTACCCCAGTCGTTTAATCAAAACCCGCAACTTTTTAGCCACCTCGAACGAACTTCAGTTATGCGACTAGAAGCGAGTTTTCTCACAAATACCGGGATACTTTGAGGTAAACGAATGTTTAAAAGTTTAGTTCCAACAAATTTCAGTGTTTCAAAGCTTGGTTAACAAATTCGGTGTAGTGATCGCATGCCACGTGGTTTCACCGTCGTAAAGGTACTAGATGCTACACCACAAATTGATTGGAGAAGGTTTAAACGATGCACTCGTATCGTTAAGTCATTTAACATCTCTCTTATGAGTGGAGTATTTTCAGTGGAGCAGCTTTACAGGGATTCCAATCAAAAATATGCCAAGCAATCTTTGTGTAACATTCTTGTTTCCAGATACCGGGGACAGATGAGCATACTATTGTGTTCAAGCTAGATTCTTTAGTGAACGGGAGACTTCAGACTGCTTTACAGCCCACCTTGGAGTGCCCGTAGGTGCAACAATATGATAAACCATAGTTGGCCTCGTCAATGTATAACCTTAACGTTGCGTGACCAGATCGCTGTGATCAATCAATAAATTTCGATTGATTGGATTCGAAAACTATCGAGTTTTATTCGGCAGACCGGATGGTTATAATCATGACCGAATATTGATGCCCATCCAACAATCGGTCACTCAAACACATACTGATCGATGTACCTGGAACATTTTTCTCTAATCTCTCCGTCTACTGCCTCGATGTCTGTTAGATGCTCGTCAACAAAATCGCACTCACTCCTCATTGACCCTCGTATCGTATGATTCAGGTTGGAATGTTATTTCTCGATTCGTGGCCACAATAGTACAGCATGTGTTGATCTTAGTGTCGAGGTGTTTGATTTCCTATTTCAAGTCAATTCATCTTTGTCAATCTTCTGCAATAGTGAAACCATGGGATTTTGTTTTTTTTCTTCTGGTCATCCGATTATCGATTATCCATAGTGTGCATGCGTAGAACGCCGCTTTCGGTACGACGAGTATTGATTGCTCACTGCGTTTAGACGAGTAAATACATTGAGTCACCAAATTATCATCCCGGGGGATGTGTGTTCGAACTCGACCACCACCACCGCCGGAATTTCCCGATTGTATGTGTTGAATGGCAGCCCTTTGAGTGACCGATTCCCGTTCCTGAAAATTGTATCTTTGTATAATGCAATAAAAGGAAGTAAAATGAAACTAACAGAAAAAAAGCGAGATGTAGTTTATGGTAAACTCTTTTCTATGCCATATCCCTTACTGTCTCAAAGTATTACCAATCCTCATCCCATAACCATCAATCGTAAATGGTGGAAAGTATCAATCTGCACTTCAGTTCAGTGATGTTTATGTAACCTTTAATCATATAATTCCGTGCAGAATCTTCTCTTACCCGTAATCAGTGTGTTCAAAGATATGTAACAGAGAGTTAGATGACGGAGTGCAATATGTAAAACAGGTTCAGCATGGTCGGAGGTGAATGTATCGGGTTTTGACTGGTCACCCTAAGTTTGCCAATCGTGAAATGCTCCTATTCGACTAAGCGTTTCAAATAGCTTCTACTAAGGGAACCTCACTCACTGCTTTCCTCCGGTGGTGTTTTCCCTCCAAAATGAAAGAACAAACAGCCAACATCCGGGTTGATGAACCGCTGGCAGTACACATTGGGGAGTTGGCTAAAATCCCTGATTCCAAACCAACCAGGAGAAGGTGTGCAAACCACATACACTCACACCTTCCTGGTTGTGACGATGGCCATCGGTTGAATTGTGTATTGAGGTGTACTGTACACCTTGTACTTTCGACCCCATCCGAAATGTGTATGTTCCGATGAACTGAACACCGGACCCCAATGGATTACAGTTTTCACACACACACACACACACA